ATTGGATTAAATTCTAAAATATCACAAAATTCATGTGATAAACCCGAATTATTAAAACCGGTTCCAACCTCTAGTATGAATTTCCAACACTGGGACTTCATTTTAACATTCAACAAATTTGATATCGATAACGCTTACGTATCGTTATTAAAAATAAACTCTAAAATGGCAATTGACGTTGAATAAAAGTCCTGTACGTAACACAAATTTCTTGTAACGCAAGGTTTTGCCATCAATCTAGTCCATCATCAATCATCAATATTAAAGAACTGATCTAAAGTGAACTATTCTTCGCTGAAAACATTCTTCGTTGAAAACAAAAATTGTAATATAAATCGTTGAATAGTCATCATGGCGGATAGTTCCGCTTTAAACGCCCAAATAATTCGTGGACTTAACGATAGGGTTTATGAGAAGCGAAAGGCTGCGGCGCTAGAAGTGGAAAAGTAAGTATCCTGGTTTCAAGCAATTCTGTCCTAAATTTGTGACTTAACATAAAGACTTTTAAAAATATATCGATAGTTCCTTTCTGATAGCCTTCATTTCCTAATTTTAGATTAATTCGTGAATACATCGCTAATAAAGAACCCGACAAAATCAAGGCTATTCTTAACAAGCTTGTTTCCGATTTTGCATGTTCGCAGCAAGCAAATTCACGTAATGGAGGTCTGATAGGTTTGGCTGCCGCGTCAATAGCGTTGGGTCCAGTAAGTACCATACGAAAGTATATTATTGCTGCTGACTTACGCTGAGTATGAATTTTTATTATTTAGAACGTGGCTGCGTATTTAGAGGAAATTGTTCCACCTGTCCTTGCTTGTTTTGCTGATCAAGATTCACGCGTAAGATATTATGCTTGCGAAAGCATGTATAATATCGCTAAGGTGTCTAAAGGTGAAATATTACGCTATTTTAATGAAGTGTTTGATGCGATGAGTAAGGTAAACAAATGTTTCATGATTCCAATCTTTTAAGATACCTTCATAAAGTATCTAAAAATAAATTAACCTCTCAGCTTATTACATCAAAATTTAATGCGATAATTACAATGAATGAATTATTATAGCTGGCGGCAGATTCCGAAGTTTCTGTCAAAAATGGAACCGAACTTTTGGATAGATTGATTAAGGATATCGTTGCTGAACAGTCTACTACATATGTATCCGCTTTGGTCCTTGCATCTATGTCACAAGATGATTCAACGGAACCAGTTACAATGCCACGAACTACTGCCTTCTCGTTACCTCGGTTCATTCCACTTCTTGCTGAGCGCATTCACGCAAAAAATCCTTTCACGCGTAACTTTTTGGTATCGTGGATTACTGTGCTAGATTCAATTCCAGATCTTGAACTTGTGTCATTTTTGCCTGATTTTTTGGATGGACTACTACGATTTTTAAGTGACCCAAATAAGGATATAAGAAACGCTACATCTTCTATACTGGCGAATTTTTTGGCTGAAATACGTGAAGCATTCGAAGTTAAGGAACATCAAAAACAGCAAGCAATGAAGAGTTTTTTTGTCGAACAACAACGTAAAATGGCCGTTTCATCAGAGACTGCTAGTGATGCTGGTGAGAGTGTGAAAGATGGGAGCACGAAAGGCGATAGTGACGATACAACACTGGGTCCTAATTCGGTAGATGGGATCATTAGTTGGGACGCTATCTCATTAAGTGAAACTGAAGGAAGAGGAAAAGGTTCATGGGTGCCAGGTCAAGGTGTTATAATTAATTATGACAGAATTGTTCAAATTTTAATGGATCATTTATGTTCTTCAGGTAGAGTTTTCACTACGATCTAAATTAATTTATTTTACTATTAATTCAATCAAATAGCTAAATAATTTCTTTTAGAGGAAGAGATTCAGGCTACAGCATTGAAATGGATAAATGAATTCATACATATCGCCAAAGAAGTGATAATTTCTTTTACACCACAGCTGATAAGCGCTGTATTACCTTCATTGGCGCACAGTGTTCAAAATATCCTTTCATATAATTTACATAGAATGATAATTATTCTCATTTATACTGTTTTTTACAAATTTTCTTCTTAACGAATATATTTACATATCCGAAATAGTGCGGTGGAATTAAATAAGAACCTTCACAAGATTATTCTCGAAACTCCAACTAATAGCTTGCCATCATCACAGCCGCCACCATATTCGACGGTGTCTATATTACCATCAGCACCTAACGGGAGTGCTTATCTAACCAACCTGCTTCCTTCGATAGATGAGCAAGCTATTAGTTGGAGTTTCGAGAA